CTCGCGCCTTGGCTAACCTGAACAACCTCTTATCCCCACCTCGGCCCTCGAGTTCCTTATACATACGACTAAAAGCTGCATTCTTGGCCGCCGTAACTGCTAGCTTAGCCTTTCTTAGCCAACTTATAATGCTCCCTATTCGCCATCTTCTCCTCCTCGTCTACACTTTCCACTAGCTTCAGATACGATGCTTTCTTGGTATCCACTTTTCCTTGCACCTCTTCATTCCACCACCAGTCTCCCTTGTGACCACCAGAGTAACCCTTTGAAACCCCTAATACCTCTCGCAGCTTCCCTAATGCACTGCGCAGTCATGGTCCACATAGCGCTTGCGTCCCCGCTACTCCTCCAAGCCCCCATAGTCACCAGCTTGACCCCCAACTCCTGCGCTTTAGCTTCCGTCAAGGCTCCACACTTTATCCTATGTTGGCTATACATCGCCCTCTTCCTCCTCTTCCTCGTGATCTCAAGGTCCATGACCAGGAAGCCTATGAAGGGTCGAGAGGTTCTCACTCGGGTCGACCTAGCAATCCGTGCAAAGACCTCTATCGGACTTCCTACAGAGTACATATTCAATCTGAGTCGTGGCCACCGAACTCCGGAAGGTGACCAAGTGCTCCCTCTTCTTCGGAAAACTCGAGTTTGCTATCACCACATCAAATGCTCTAGCAAAGTCCAGCAGAGACGTTCCTCCTTCGTTTCTATCTCCAAAACCAAAGTCACCATGCACATCATCGTACCCCCCAGACATCGCTCCAATGTGGCCGTTGAAATCTCCTCCTATGAAAAGCTTCTAGGTGTGCGGGATACCACGCACCATCTCATCTAAGTCCTCCCAGAAATGCCTCTTGACTTTCTCATCCAAGCCTGCTTGGGGTGCGTACTCACTGATTATGTTCAAAGTAAAACCTCCAACAACTAGCTTAATCGTCATCAACTTGTCATTCACCCTCCTAACCTCCAACACTAGTTCACGGAGGTCGTTATCAACCAAGATACCTACCCTGTTCCTGCCCCCCACCCTCCCAGAATACCAAAGTTTGAAACTGCCCACATCCCGCGCCCTAAATTTGAAGTTGTCATGTAAAGTTTCTGCATTACATAACAATGATGTACCATTTGCTTCCTACCATATAGAAGTCTATAATTTGAAAAGACATAACGGTACGGGTGGATATCTACATTAGGAAAGAGGGTATAAACAGCCCTAAAATTTTTAATATTTCAATTTATGAGGCAGAGCATTTCAAGCAGCAAACCACAATCCTTGACCTTAAGAGTCTCCATTGACAGATTTATAAATGCGCAAACCATGACAGCTGATTAGAGCATGCAACACATACATTTATTTGCAAGCAGGGCTTAAGGAAGTTCAGAGATCTGTACAGAAGCATCTGAACATATCAATAGTTAATTACATGTTTAAGAAACAGAGAAGAGAAAAACCTGAAATTGATGTTCGAGTGGAGTTTGGACGTCGTTGATGAGCCAGTGCAAGCACTATGGCATCCTCAACCTGGATCAAGGATATCATTAAATGGTAATGCAATGCTCTATTCTTCCACCTAGAAAGGAGAATAAAATAATACTAAACCCTGGTGGACAATGTTTCTACTTGCAAGCGATTATTTAGCCTATTCTAGAAAAAAGTAGCAAAGAATTGAATGGAGTAGATTTCATCCCTATCAATATGCACTTGGTGTTCCAAATCCTGGGACTGGCCTGATGTTGGCCCGTGCCTTTATCCCTCGGCTGAACACCATAACTATCATATTCCACCCATCCTAGTATAAAAGCAATGATTTTCACTTTCTGTAATAACTACGTGTGACCAATATGGTACATATTCAGTAGGTCTTTTCTTATTTTACCAATTCTTTTTATTAATCTCAACTTATGATTTAACAAATTCATAATACCAATCTATATTGATCATATTCTTCTTAAACTGCATATGTGGAAATTTTAAAGTTTAAATTGATCATTGACTTGGTGATCAATTAGTACTGGAAGCCAAAGTTTAGAAACAGGGCAACGAATGCAGAAGCAAGAACTAAATAATGACTCTAGTTATTAGAGTAACCTTCAAGGAAACAAGTTCATTCAAGCCCATTTCAACAGAAAGCATGCTTTCTATATTTCCTTCTCCAGTGAGATCATTCAAATCCTGAACAAGATTACCCCTCTCTGGATTGTCATAACCTGCAAAAGAGAACACTGATTAAGAACTCATGCCCATTGAAAAATTCTACCATTTACACAGACAAGTAGCTAGGTTTAATCATGCTTACCTTTTTCCAAAAATTCTTCCTTTGCCTTTTGTCCAGCAGAGATAACCAATTCAAAAGGAAGAGGTGCGAAGGATGACCAGTACTCATGTTTTGAAGCAGCAATATCTGCACAAATGCCTGGAAGAGAAAAAAGAGCAACATTAACTTTACACTCAAAACTGGTAACACTTCTTATATACACAGCACTAAAACAAGAACAGAGGGGTACACGGGGTCAACGCTTACAAAAAATAAAACATTGAGTGGACACAAATGCAATTAGAACCTAGCAGCAGACAGAGCATTCATGTGCGGCAAAATAGCAAAAGAAGTATTCAATTGATGCAATCCATTACAAAAAGTCAATCTCCTTTTGTATAGTTGTAAAACAATGTAATGATAGTTAATTTGCATTAAGTTTTCTAAGTGAGGTTACTGGCACTGATATCACTTATTATATGTTCCCTCTTTGCATTGTCACATTTGGAGTAAAAAGCGCTTCCTTACAATCTAACAATATTCAAATGCGCTATTGTAGTTTTTGCGTCTCATTTATTGATTCTCTATCTCTTATGTACTTTTTTGCCTCTTTTTTCGTAATTGACGTGACTTGGGGGACTTCATAAAACCATTTCAAGTCTATAACTGATGATCAAAGGTTGGTATGAGCAGCATAGACAGGAAATGTCAAAGGAAAAAGGAAAGGGTAGAAGTCAGGAAAAAATGTTTTTCTACTTCAGAAAATAGAGATCTTGTGTAACTAGGAAAAAGACAAATCTCTGATGCATTACTTAACAAACTGAGCTGCTAAACCCCAATAACGTGCAAGCCAGCATCTTTTAAGAACAACATCTTCCTGCAATATGAATATGCCAGGAAGTTAAAGTATTGTAATGAAAAATTATAATTATGAAAGCAGTATCAAAAAGTGCAGCTAGATACCATCTCATTCTGGGTTAAAACCATCCTTTGTGTCATAAAGCGTAGAGTTTTAACCTCAGATTCAGTCCCTCGAAGTTGATATACAGCAGCAGCTGCGTCATCTTTTGCTTTCTAGGTCAAACATGGTATTAAAAAATTAGATAAAACAAACCAGACCTTCAGTAGCATTACATGGTGGTGATGTTCACCTGAACATTAGAACAGAGGTTTGCAAGTTCCACATCTATCCCATTCTTGGCTTGTTTTGCGTCTTTCAGTGCAGCCTGCATCAATTAATCTTCCACAATGATTGAAATTGTAGTACACTTGAAAGCAGTTACACAGACGGAACAATGCTGATGTAACATGTGGGCATGGTATTCTGAAGGAAGACTCAGACAGATTAACTTATAAAGAATAACATAAACTTCTACTTAAAAGTTTATTGAGAATAAGGAAATGAATATAATCTACCATGTGTCCATACTAAAAGTAATCGAATGGCCCGTGCTACTCTGACCCTGTGTTTGTGTCTGTATTTTCCTAAATATGTGGAGTAATGTCTAGCCATACAGGCCAAGGTAAACTTTTTCTTCTGTATTCGGCTATTCATTCGATGATGAATGATTTTTAATATTTTATGCTTTTTAAATAAACTTTCTCTCAACAAAAAGCCAGAGACAAGAATCAGCCTGACAAATTAATCTGCAATTAACTCAATATCCCAACTGACCTCCCTTTGGCGCAAAGAGGCTTCCTTCCTGCAAATGATAAAAAGTCTTATCATGATATATACATATCCACCAAAAACGATTCTTATCATGGTATTAACACAAAATTCAGTGCAAAGATGAATACGTGGAAGACTTTTACCTGCTTAACAACTTTGCTTCTAAGGATACTCCTTCTCCAAGTGCTGCAACCTGATGCATAAGAAATGCCTTTCAACTGTCAGATGAAGTTTAAATTGAAGATGCCCATGGTGCATAAGTCATAAAATAAGAATCAATAACGTTTATCCAGCAAAATTTCCAAATAAGGTGTTTATAATCATTTTCATCTCTTTTCTTTTTTTGTGATAAAGGAGGTGTTCATACTAGAATGACACGCTGACTATGTTTAAGGTTTTCGCTTCTTACTTATCAAAATACAAAGACAAAACATAAGTTTATTGCTTTCATTCTCTTTCAGGTAAACAAGTAAAATTCCACTAATGAAGCAATGAGGCTCTTATACACTGGAGGGGAAAAACAAATGAATATTACAAGTTTTTAAGACAAAGGATTTGTACACAATTTGGCATAACAATGGCATAACCTGTTTCTCAAGCTCCTTCACTCTAGCTTCTGCTTCATCGTAACTCATTTCAGCACCTCTAAGCTGCACAAAAGAATTCGCAACTTCAGTATAAACACACGCAGAGATGCATGGCTTAATGCAAGTAAAGCAGAGGAAAAGAACTGCTGAAACATGCACCTTTCCAAGCAGATTTTCATTTTCTTCTTGTAGCATATCAAGCTGCCAAAAAAGTAAAGATTAGAGCAGAAAGAAGGCACTGAAGTCAAGTGGTATATCCAAGTGTTTACATGCATAAAGAGACACAGCAGGTACTTTACGTGTCTGATGACTGAATACTATGCATGTAAGAATAGAGAGGTATCAATTTGATAGCAAAATGAACATACTTCATCATGAAGCGCAGAAGCAACACGGTTATCTCCTGTATCTTTCAAGTTAACTTGTCTTAAATCTGGCGAGAATCTGCATTACAAGTTAGATGATGAGTGCAGAGAAAAGGAACTGAATCTTGCTAAAGCATCTTCTGCATATATATGGAGGAAGCTCATGCGCCTTAAGACACTTGCACTGCTTCAGTGTTGCCATTAACAGAACTACACAGATGAACAGAAGGTTTAAGCCAGTCCAACGTCCTTTTGAACTGTCATAGCAATAGCATACAATCAAATGGCAAATATTTTTAGACTTAAAAAGTTTATTAATGACACAATTGCAAGAACTTGGCAAACTATGGAATATGTAACAAGTAGAAGATACAACCCACAAAAGAAAAGAAAAAACACATGTTTTAGACCCTTTGCTCCAGCTGCTTGTTCGTGGGAATGTTAGACTGAAAAGAAAAAAAAGGAAAAACAGAAAAAGAAGCTCATTATACCTTTTCTCTCTCAGCTTGTTGGTTGGAGGCTCGATTGGGGGTATAGGTGAAGGAGTCTTCACAGGCTGTCGGGTACTTGGTATTGATGATGGAGGACGAGTTGGCACATTTGCTCTTCCTGCTGATGTTGAACGAAGAGACGACGGGGTTTCCTCGACAAAATTCCTAGCTAGCTAACATACAGAGGAGACAATTATCATACAGAGGTAATTACAACTCAAACTAACATGCCACTGCTTATGCTCATCTAGATTAAATTTGTTTAACTGTATCCCCTCCGTACTTTATATCACAATTTTTACGACAAACCCAGAATTATCCAAAGAGATTTAACAACTAGCCAGTCTCTTGAGCTAGAACCACTTTCTGAAGAGAACCAACACAAAGATTTTCAGAGCTTTTTTGCTATACGGTTGAAGAACAGAACTTATATAACTGAAATCAGTTACAAATGCAGTTCAATATGAATGTGAAGAACAGAACTTATATAACTGAAATCAGTTACAAATGCAGTTCAATTTGAACACATTCATACTGGATTATACTTCATTATCTATGTAGAAGTGAAACGCTGTCAATATTTCAGAACTCTCCATCAACACAACAGTAAGCTAAATCTCATAAAGTAACACACACACACACACACAAGGAAATGTAAATCAAGACTGAATAAACAGATCGAGGTCTTGATATTACCAGAGGGGAAGATGATCTATTATTATTGAGCTTAGCGGACTGAATAGCCGCAGCATTAGTGTTGTAGGTAGCATTAGTGTTGTCGGTAGCACTAGTGCCGTTGGACCGGGAAAAAGAGGGAGGTGCAAATCGGAATCCAAGATCATCATTATCATCATCATCATCGTCATTACCAGCAGAAGCAGCTTGTGAGGCCATGACTTGAGCGAGGCGCTGGGCAGCAGCTTTTGCAGCAACATTCTGAGTGCGCTTAATGTTGGACATCATGACGCCGGAGACTGAGGAAGACCGGCCATGATGATGTGGACGTCCAGGTGATGAAGACCCGGAAGTCAGAGTCGGAGCTGCTCCGGATTCGCTGCTCCATTTCCTTAACTGCCTCGGACTTGCTGTTCTCGCCCGATCCATTTTAATACTAGTTGTTGATGAGTTCAGTACAAAAGTATTTAGGTTACGAAAAGATGAGGGAGAATGTAGGTCGAAACTGGCTAGATTTGGGGGTTCGTTGTTACAGAAGCTTCTCTTCTCCGCCGGAGAGATTGACGGAGACAGATATTAGCCTAGCCCGGAAAACTTGCTTGGTTGGGCGTGTCTTCTTTTTCTTTAGGGGGAAAAGGTCCAAATTTATCCCCCGTCTGAATATTGTCTAACATATAATACCTATAGTATTCCGTCAAATTTATTTCCTTTATATCTAATCTCCAATAAACTTTTAAAATAACCGTTACTCCGACTCAAAATCTCTAAAATCATTTTACTTAAATCTCTTTTTCTTCTTCTTGATCCACTATTTTCAAAATAATTAACAAAAATAAGAGAAAAAAATATTAAAATAATATAACAGTTAGTAAATAAAATATAGTAAATTAAAGAATCTAAATTAAATAGTTTGTCTAAATTTTAAAAGTATTTACAACACTCCAACTTTAATAAAAGTATAAAAACTTTACAAGTATTAGTGATAGAAGTTGAAGTTCCTTGGAGATTTTATATTGTCGAATTCAATTTTGCTTTAATCAAATACATATGCATTGTACACTCTTAAGTTAATGGACTGAACTCTATACTAACTAGATAATTACAAAATATATTACATACATGATGTGCAGACACATATAATACATAACAAATAGACCCACAAAATTACACAATGTGTATATGGTTGAAAATTTATAAAAAAATTTAAACCAATTCTAAAGTGGGTGCAATGGTAATTAAAATTTTCAAGAATAATTTGTATGGTTTAGTACCTTTAGCGTTCACATTAATAATAATTTCTAAAAATAGTGGATCAAGAAAAAGAATAATTGATTTAAATAAAAGGAATTTTGGAGATTTTTGGTTACCTAACGGAATGAGGCGTAATTTTTAAAAGTTTACTGATGGTAGGAATAATTTGGCCGAATAATATGATGGTAGGGGTAAATTTAGCCAATAGTATGACTGTAGGGATAAATTTGGATGAATAGTATAATGGAGGTTAAATCTAAATAATATACGAAAGTAGAATGATAAATTTGGACATTTTCCCTTTTCTTTATGTTTTCTTGAACTTTTCTTTCAAACTCCTAATACTTGGCCTTTTATTTTTATTTTCTTTTTCGGGAACGTGAGTTTGATGAGTGGCGTAGCTTGTCGGTGAGTATTTTAATTAGAGCATTTATCCAAAGACGCGTGTCGTATCAAAATCAAACAGTGAATGTTCATAATCGAAAAGAAATGGATACATCAACCCATCTCCTTTCTTGGGAAGATATGAAAAGTAGATCATTTTACATAGTAACTAATTTACCACGACACATCCAAAAATACTTGACAACAGTGACAAAGTCATAATTTTCAATGAGAAGATTTAAAATATAAAAAAAAATATACAAAAAAAGATAAAAAAACTCAACTAGCCCGGAACCAAAATAGCAACTTTTTGGACTTAAGATACAAAAATAGATGCATAAAAAAATTTGGTACCATTTTATATACGCTATACGTTAACGATCAGTTATCCCGTTAACATATAGCGCAATATAATACATGCGCTATACACTTCATTTTGATACTTCAATAGTATAGCGCATGTAATAAATGCGATATGCGTATAGCGCATCTAATACATGCGTTATAGAGGCGTTTTTCCTGACTTTTTGAATGATAACTCTAATAATTGTATGGTAATGCACTTATTTGTATCCATACTTTTCAGGTGCCACTTAAAGTTGCTTACTTAAGGCCGAATGTTCATTCTTGCAAAAAGTAATTCTTGAGTGAATTTGAACCAATTTGCCTTTGTTCTTCAACATTCTTTATACATCTCTTCATCTTCATTAATCTATACAAAGTTCTTTTGAATCTTTCTACGAAGTTTAATGAGCGAAGAGTTAGGGTTGCATTATATTGGGGCGGCGAGAATGTGGTGGAAATAACTTGGTGCACTGTAGTTGTTCTCCACAATGTATTATTAAGTTTCCACTCACATTGGAGTACCACACATTGTATTTTTGATTTGTAAAAGAATGCGTGTGAGTAAACGTTCGATTAATTTTAAAGTAACCGAAAGATATCTGTATTCGCTTACTCTACAAGGTGTGGCATGCTATGACGAGTTTAACATCGATGGCGATGAAACTCTACGTGATTTTCTGAGGACTTCGTATGAAGACAGGGATGTTCTTGCGATAAGCATGTTGGAAATGTACGTAAAGTCTGAAGACGTCAACAAGGTTGATATTCCGCATACTACGACTCAACCATCTGGAGGTGTTTTCGGAGCTGTTTTATCTGAACAGGTTCTGTGTGAAAGAGTCTGGCCTGATATAAACTTATCTCCACGGGTTAACGAGGAGTGAGGACACAACTTCTCGCCAATGCATCAGCATGGAGGGTCGCCAAGTTTACAGAATTCACAAACCGAGTGGTAATTTGCAACTTATATTGTTGTAATATAACTATTTGTTTTATGTGTATAGTAATTCTAACTCGTATTTCTTCCATATGGGGTACCGGCCAGATATAAATTTTACTTGTTATAAACCAACCAACATTGAAAATTTACCTACTTTTGGAGGGATGGATCACATTGGTCCATCCTTGAGGCATCAACAATTTGATAATATGCATCATGGGCTATCTACAACTTATGAATGGTATGTTTAAGCGTTAAAGTTAATTATGTTAAGATGTAAAAAATATTAATTATTTGATTGGTTGTGCAAAGAAATGAGCAACATGACGGTCTTGTCCTAATTCAGTTGGGCATTGACGATATTTTGAATCAGGACATGGCAGATGCACAGAGCAAGGAAGATGACAGTGACTATGACAACAATGCTGATGAGTTAGGCGATGAAGCACCCTTCTCAGATGAGAGCGACAATAAGGAACCACACTTCATAGATGAGAGTGACAACGAGCAATCAGATTTGATGATGGAGCATAATGCCACCACTCAGCATGCTCTATATATGCAGACTCCACCTACCGTTAGACAAGCGGTGTATGAGTCACATGTGCTATTTCATTCAAGGGAGATTCCTTACCTTGATCATTTGTCAGGTATGACCAATGTGGATGCCCTCATAAGGGATCTTGATGAAATTTGTACATCAATGTGGGATCAAAGTAGACCAATGGAGCTCTACAAAAATATGCTTTTCAATGACAAAGCTCGTCTCAGTAAGGCGATGCGAATTTACAGCATAAAAAACTACCATGAGATCGAGGTTGCTGAGTCATCTAAAAAACATATAAGGTGGTTTATCGTAGATGGGACCAAGGTTGTAAGTGGATGTTGCTTGAGAGAAAGTTGAAAACTAATATATGGGTGGTAGAGAAATACATTAGCAAGCATACTTGTAATATGGACACATTCAATAGGAGTCATTTTAACTTGAATGTTGATTTGATTTTCTTTTTCTTGATTCCACATATTGAATCGTCCATAAGATATAAAGTGAAGGAGTGCATAACTGTCACGACCCAAACCGATGGGCCGTGATGAGTGTCGAATTCTATCTATCGAACACTCCTAAGCATATGTCTAAGATATAAACATGAAATAAGTGTAGGTCATGCATAACGTCTGGAAATAAACTACTGATTCATATGAACAACATACGCGGAAAAACATGCCCAAAAGACATATATACATATATGTATATGAAATATAGTATAGCGAGCCGACAAGGCCACATACTATCCAACTATACATGACTGTCTACAGACCTCTAACAGAGTGTACAACTGTATAAAGGATGGGACTGGGCCCTGTCATACCCATATGTATACAAAAGTATTGTACCAAAACTCAATAGTAGCTCCAGATCAAATGGAGCACACCAACTCTCGCTGAGCAAGGATCCTAAGATGGGGGACCGTAAGCCTGTCTACCTGCACCTGCGGGCATGAAACGCAGGCCCCCAGGCAATAGGGGTGTCAGTACGAATAATGTACCGAGTATGTAAGGTATAAAAATTAGTACTCCCTCCATTTCAAATTAGATGAGGTACTTTCCTTCTTAGTCTGTTCCAAAATAAATGACACATTTCTAAATTTGAAAATAATTCAACTTTAAGCTCTTTATTTTACCCATTTTACCCTTAATGAGAAGCTTTTATAACCACATAAATGTCATGGCCCCACAAAGCTTTTACCCCTTAAGCATTTAAGACCACAAGTTTTAAAAGTCTTCTTCTTTTTCTTAAATTCCGTGTCGAGTCAAACTACCTCATCTAAATTGAAACGGATGGAGTATATAAAAGACATGGGAGAAACATGGAGTAAAGGACTCAACCTGTAAGTCTGAATAGCTATGTGAATCATGAAACAATTATAATATCATGTATATGCGTATACATATCATATCATGCATAGGTATATACGTACATAACATCATTAAGCCTCTGAGGGCATCCCATCATATCATCTCAGTCTTTGTGGGCGAAATCATAAACGTATACCAGCTGATCAAGTGGTGGTGCATATATAACACCATAACCTTTCCCCATACCCCATATACATATACTATACACGTATATAATGCCATGTGATCATAGGTCAGTATACATGTATAAATGGATACAATGCATAGTGAAGTAAGTCAATAAGATCTCTCGGAATGTCATGAGACCCATGAACAGACGATATGATAGTAGGACATATGGGAAATCCAGAACATAGGCAACCCTAGTACTTCTAAGAATATAATCATTTATGAAAGCTGTGTGCTTGCTCGTTTCGTTTGTATCATATGGATCATGCCAAAAAGAAAGAAGCAATAGCTTTAACATACCTCAAGTCGTCAATGCAACTCAACAACAAGCTTATGACAACTAGCGCTCCAACCCTATAACAAAGAAATACATGTACAACTTAAATGGCGCTAGTATATCACGTATCTCAAATGATAACTCGATTTTAAAATAAAACGAGCAGTATTTCCCCTGATTTTATTGCTCCTTCAAGCCTAATATAGGTGAGATAAAAACATAATACAATCAACAACTCAAAAACAACCCAACTACAATTCGGGACCTTCAATACAACAAAAACCCCAAATATACCATAACACACCCAATCAACAAATTATCAATTAGCCTTAAATTGCAACGACGAGCGACCATCCTACTACCCTACCACATGTGGCATTTCTC